TACTCTTTCAAATTTCAGATCTTCCTCCTGTTTAGCAAATATATATGCATTTTTGTGCAAGCATCCTCTTACTTGGATTGGTTCACTCCAATGCAGGATGATTGTTTAGGAAAGGTGCAGAGAACAGACTTTTCCCCAATAGGGAGTGTTCTGAAAAACCTGCAGATGGGTCACATAGTCGGGCAGATGATTGGAATACCAACCAAGATAAACTGGATGGGTTTCAGACCTGGATTACTGTAAATATTATATAATATAATATGTTATGTAAATGTTATATAACAGTGTGAAACATGGTTCACGTTCTTGAGAGAAACTATTGGTTCATCATTTGGAAATGCCTGAGGATGTGAAAGACCAGTCTATCATTGGCATGTTTGTGTGCAGAATCATAGAATATAGGACTGTTCAAAAGGAAAATGCTATTCTAGAATTGCATCAGAAAAGGCATTTCCATTGAGATAAGAAGCATTATTGTTACTGTGCAAATACTGGTGAGAACTTGTCTAGAATGCTGCTGACAGTTTTGGCACATTTGTTACTTACGTCACACAGTTTGAATTCGCCTTTAAAGACCCACAAGGCAATATTTTTTCTGATTATTCTAGCATAAAAGAAAAGTTAAAGAGATCTGGTTTATTTAGCCTGGTAAAATGGGGGTTGAGATGGAATATTAGAAGGTCAACAGAAGGAACAAGAATTATGTAAGCCTAAGGGCACCATTGGCATAAAAATGAAGCAGTAAATGCTACTGAAGGATACGTTTGAATTAGAAAGTAAAGGAAAGTTTTTAACCTTCGGAGGTTTTGGAATGACCTTCCAAAGCTGTGCTGGAGGCTAGAATCTCGATCACGTTTTTGTAAGCTGACTATATGTTTCATGAGCTAAATTTCACGATAATACTTGTAATAAACTGAAGATAGTTTCTGAAATAGTTTGTGTGATGTAGTTGTACGTTGTAGTGAAAGAGTGAAGTTACTTACCTAGAAGTCTTTGTTCCTATCTCTTATTTGCAGTGCATGAAGGCAGACTCTTTTGATGTATTGACAGCCTTTGATGCTACTGAGTGTGAGATTTTTCCTGGTATACGATCCTTTCTAAATTATTTTCACTGTTTTTCCTATGAGAATCCACAGGATAGTGAGCACTTGTTCTAAGGCCAAAAAAATCTAAGGTTTTGTTGTTTCTGGTTTTTATTTTTTTTAAATCTTGTGCAATGTATGTGATTGAGTTAATAAGAATGTATTGAAATGATGATGACCTTACTGTACGTGTTCTCAGGTGAAACCCAGTTAGGACAACATGCTGAATTATGCTGTGTCTATATGATTTCAAGATTCAGAGTCAGCTGGACATAATTTAATCCAGATATAACAGTAGTTATAATAACACTTTAGCCATCTTTTGCTTAGTAGAATGCATGTTGAGGCTACCGGATAACTTCATATTAGAAGCAAAAGTCAGTAACAAAGAATTAGATTTTTAAATAGAATTTTTAAATTTGAAAAGGTAACAGTTTTTCTTAAACAAATATACCAATATCTGGCATGTAGACAAGTTCATTTACAAAAAACCTCAAAAAAATTTATTTTGCTGACCTTGTGGTAGCTGCCTTTCCTCTCAAAGTTAAGAGAACACATTTAACTGCTTTAATGTATTATGCTTCTTTGTTTGGATGCAGGCAAGATTTGTAAATGATGGCCTACATTTTAAATAAAACTTCTCTTGTTTTAAAGTTTATCTTTCTGGATTCTAAGACTAGTTTAATTCTTAAGAGTCTTCTAGAAGCAAAAACATATTTTACCTGTTCTTTGAAGTTCTATCTCAGGTGCTTGTGCATAATATATCCTTTATTAGTACTTGTTGTTATAATATTGTTTAATGCTTATACGGCATTAATAAATAGTAGCCTACTTTGCCATAATCCCAATGTGCTAACCAGCATGCAAACAGATTTTTACCCTTTTCTTGGGGGGAAAAAAAAAAAACATGCAGTCAGTGATGGAGATATGAGAGTGCCTGAAATAAGTGTCTAGACAGAGTTAAAGTAATATTGAGATATTCCATAGATCAGATTTTTTGACAGAAAATAAATGGAAAAGAACAGCTATGTCTGTAGTTTTAAATAATGCCAAATAGCCTGAACTGGCCTACGTTCATACAGTTTAGGGTCACTCCTGCTAGAGCAGAGCATCTGCATCCATCCTGCATAGCAGGTCTTCCCTGGAACTGACACAGTACCTCTTTCACCCTAGGATGTCATTACTATTTTGTCTGTTTAGATCAGGGTTCATGGAATAACAAGGGTTGCTTTTTACCCATTAGAATGATATGTTCTATATTTGCTGGGGCATGGCAACATGTGTTCTTGGAGAGAAGTTAAGTTGACTAGGTCTCATCCATGTTGCCTTCAGTCAACATGTTGAGACATTTTCAGGATGGGAGAGCAGTCAAAAAAATGAGCAAGGAGCAAACTAATGATTTGAGTGCTGTGGACAGTCAGGATAGAGGCATGGGTGCTGAGGCATATTCCATGGTCCCCTAATATTTATCATTTCCTTGACTTGGGAACTTTGGTCCCTGAAGACTTGCAGTGTTTCAAGGTTACCTAAAAATCTGTCTCAGTTTGCTTAATGTGCTGTCTGAAAGCTACAGCAACTCCAAAGTTGTTTCAGGAACGGATCAGGCCTCTCACCATCTGAAACAGAAAGGTCCATCAGAGGGGTGGGAGAGACAGCTGGGGTTGCCAGCAGTTTCAGCCATCTGATTTAAATCAGCTGCTGCATGACTATAAAAGTTCTCATTCTCTGTAAAGCAGCCAGAGACTAGTGTTGTCAGATTTTTTTTTTTTTATTTTCTCCCTGACTATTGGCAAGGGATTGATTTATGACTTGTGGAAATTAACATTCTCTAGCAATCTATTTGAAGTGCCCTTTAGGTGTTTTAATGCATAAATGGGCACTCAGAGAACATGAAGAACACTTTTTAGTACAAGTAAGGTGACTAAGATGAAGATGGTGTGTATTTATCTTTGCCTGTTTGGGGACCAGCTCATGGACAAATGCAACTTAGATGGTTCTTTTTGAGGCTTACAAGCTGTGCCTAGGAGTCCCAGCTAATAATAATAAACCTAACAAATCCGAGTTAGTCTCTAACTTTTCTCACTAGCTTTTTGGTAGTGGAGAGTGTCTAAAGAAACCTATTTATTTTACCTGAAGCCATCCTGAACTGGAAAGCCTACTTAGACAAAAGCTGACTTAGAGACATTGAATTTGCCCTGTGCTCCATTTATTTACTTATTTATTTATTCAGGAAGAAAGGTCCAGCTGGTAGACACTTGAAATTTATCTGTGTGCTTAGTTTTGAAATCCTGTTTGCTTCGTGGTCATTAATGAAATGTGGAAAAATTCAAGAAGACCTGTGATGGAAAATTTTATTGCAGATATTAGATGTTCACTTCTAGCATTTTCTCATTTCAGAGAACTTGTTAAAGTCATGAATGCTCACTGCTAATCCATATCTAAATGCAATTCTGTGCTTACCTCTTAACAATAAAAATGTGAACCTTTAGCAGTAATGAAGAACTAAAGCGTATTTTCCAATACGGAAAATTAAAAAATAAAACTAAATTTTGAAGAGTACGATGCAGGAGACTTTAATCTTCCAGCCAAAAATTTGCCAAAAAATCTTCCTTTTCAAGAACAGTAGCAAAGGGTTAGATTTGAAAAGGCTTACTAAAAGCACGAATTTCCATTGTAAAACCTTGATCCACATTTGTTTATCTCTAAGCAGAGAAGGCCAAATTTATGCCCTGCTACCCCACACTTTTCCATATTAAACATTAGCTCAGAGTAAGTAATTTCCTTTCTTCACAGATGATAGAACACACCAAGGAAGGGAGGTTAGAAAACAGTTCAAGTCTTTCCCCCCTTACTGGTGTAAGGTCTAGAAATCAAAGTTTTCACTTCTCTCTAAGATCTGGTGCTCCTAAGCAGTAGACACCAACCTTAGGATGGGATTTGCTAGTAACTTCACACTCTTAATAAAAGAGTGTCTGAAATTAAGTATATTTTCCTGATGTTGCAAGAAGGAAAATCCCAGACTGTGTGCCCATTTGGCAGAAAGAGAAACGGTTCTTTGTGATGCTAAACAGGCCATCCTGTCAGATCTTTGCATCCTGAAGGATATCATTTCCTCCCTTCTGATAAGGAGAGCAAATCAGATGTGAATAAAGTGGGCAACCTTAGATATGGACTGTAGGGACAATCAAGTAGTTGATTCCATTCTTCCTGCCCAGCAAGGCAGCAGCGTTGTTAAAAACACGGTGTTGCTTTTTGCTGCAATTTTATTATGCATCTCACACTATTTGGAGGTCTGTTTTTTCAAGAGTCTTCAGTTAAGGTCTCTTACTGAAATGCTCAATCTCATTCCAATCTAAAATTACTTTTTCTGTTCCTTTTCAGTAAGGTTCTGTCTATTTCCGATGCCATAACGACTTGGAAACACGATGCACTTCTTTCACTCCAGTATTTAAAAACATATACAAAATATTTATATTATTTTGCAAATTTAATAGAATTTTATATTTTAGGTGCTCATGATTTTTTGAATATTTGGGGTAGAAATATTTATATTTAATGATATAATGCTATCGGTAAGAATTTAGGCAGTTGTCCAGATTGTTTAAAATGATGATACAGTATTCACGTTATGCTCATACTGAGATTGCTGTTAAAAACCTACTGGAACTGCAATACTTCCATAAAGAATTTTCCCCTTTATACTAAAAAAGCTTGCTATTTCTTATTGATCTGCTTTATTTGTGATTTCACAAGTGCATACAATTTTGCATAAATTATATCTTTCATGTCAACTGATTTGTCAATTTCATTATGTTAGTTTCATGAATTTTCATTTTTTCCATTTTGAGCAAATTTACTGAAGTAGTTTATTTGAAGACAGTTGAATATAAAGGTTGATTTTGATTTTTCTTATTTTAGATTATTATGTCATGCAATGAAAGACCATATAGTGCGTGTTGCAAATGAAGCAGAATTTATTTTGAACCGACAAAGGGCTGAAGATGTCCACAAACATGCAGAGTTTGAGGTAAGCCTGAAAGCTGGTGTAGTCCTGCTTTTCTGTTTTCACTCAGTTGTCACCTAGACTGTAACTCCATACAATAAAGATTTTTTTTTTCCAAGAAAAAAATTTACATTGAAGGCATTTCAGAACTAGTTTTTAAAAGCTTTGGTAAATGTCAAACACAAGGAACTGGTTTAATTTCTCATCTCCTCTCTGAAATTCATGAAAATATTTACAGCTTGAAGAAATCCCTTAATCAGAATGTCAGCTAAACTGATATGGCAGACCGTTTAGCTTCACAAAGAGCTTTTCTCATTTATTGCAAATAGTAATGCAAATCACATTAGTAATTATTTTGCTGGATTTTATCAACAATATATATGAGTTTAGTAAAAAAGAAAAGCACTTAGTGCACCTAAGGCATTTCCTGAAAAATAAGCAATGTAGATGTTTTGTTAAAAAATAAAGGCATTGTTAGGATAATTTTGCTAGAACATTTTGTATTTTTGAGCTCTTTAGGACATTTATTGCTAAAACATGTATTGAAACATGATATTATATGTCTTTGCTACTTGTTAAGAATCTTTAAATCCTGACAATGAGATTATATTTAAAATGTATGTTGTTTTTAAGTATTGGAAGAAGTAACCCTGCAGCTGGATGCAATAACCCTATAATGTACCTAATTCTTACTTCCAAAAGCATTCAAAATTTAACTGCTTTTTTCATCAGTAAGTGTTATAGCATATATTTCAAAATACCTTATTTGAAAAAGATACAAATTTACAAAAGCTATTTTTAAAACATTTGTTCTGTTCAATATTTAACAGGTTTTTGATTTTTTTTTATAGGCTTAATTTTATTCTTGTTCAGAAAAGTAACAGTGATGGATTAAAGTTCAAATATCATTTTTGATATGACTTTATCCAATATATTTTCGTGTTACAGTGTTTTTATGGTGTTTTTTACACAGCATTTCAGCATTAATGTTTGTTATCATTTCCAAATCGGCTTATGCTTGCACACATTTAGATATAAACAAGCACACACAGATGCACACACACTTGCACATATTTTAAAGCTCAAGTGACCTAACATTAGGATTAAGATAGACTGACTTAGTAGTCTTGATGATAATAAATAGCTGTATCAATTTATTCATCTGTCAGAACATGTCAACAAGCACCTGGTGGCTAGAAATGGGATCCAGTAATCTTAGTTTTGATGAGGTTTTTATCTCGTTGGAACAGCTCTCTCAAACGTACACTTTGATGTACTAGTTCTTGTGCTCCTTGACCTAGCTGAAAAGTATGAGACAGAGAGATATCTGTTGTCATTTTGAATACACATAACCTTTACTTCAATTTGTCAGGCCAGACAGCAGACACTTGTCATATGGGATTGCAACAACTTTATTACCAAGCATATACTGGATATTTTGAACTTAGATAAAATCACATTTACAATTAAGTGTGTGTCAGAGTGAAGTTTCATATTGCCTCAACAATAAATAACATTTGATATTTATCAGAGCATCACGCAGTAACCTGAGATGACAATAGAAGATTGAGTTATCTGCTCTTTGAAGAATACATTGAGGTATAAGATCTGTCAGAACTCTAGACAAAATGGGAATATTTAATTAACTTCCAGCTTCTGTTAGCAAATAGGATTTAGAATATTAACTAAATTCCCTAAAGGAATAATCTTAAGTCAATCTTATGGTCTGGTAAAGAAACCAACACATTTTTCAAATATGAAAATTTTCTTTATATTTGTCACATGAAAAAACTCAACTGCATCTTTAGGTGAATAAGATGAAACCTGCTAGTCAGAAGAAAATTATGAAATGTCGCCTGTATAAAATATGACTCTTAGATATACTTAACTAAGGTGATATCTAAAATCTGAAAGAATGTTTTATATATTGTCTCTAATAATCTTGGGTAAACAACTGAACATTTTATTATTCATCTTGCTTGAAAGTGGTAAGGACAAGGGTTTTCTGGTAGTTTTCTGCTGCATAATTGTAAATCTGTCAGTTTGTTTTAATAAGCTGTATCGGTATATGTTCTGTGTTTAGTACATGTTAATTGTTGCTCTCAGCAAGAAAAGTGAGTGGCTGTTTTATTTTTACCTTTTAAACTTTAATGGAATCATTATGGAAGCAATTATTTTGCCTAACTTGCATCAAGTTACTGTGGTGCCTGTGTAGTGGGGAGGCCATAGACCGGCATGTAAATTTTGTCCTGCAACTACAGTTAACGGAGGGTGCAGGGGAGGTTCTTCCTAGTGTGGTAGCTTCACAGTTAACTTTCATTTTGTTAACCTTTGTAATTGTTCAGGAAGAAAAATAAAAATTTAATTTTACTGTCCAATGAGCTGGTGAAATATTAACCTCATTACCGAGGCAGATCACTGTACTAATTGGTGCTTCCCTGTACAAGAAGATAAATTGAAAAATGAATTAACCCTTTATGAATGAGTGTAATGATTCTTCTTTTCCACATAGATTACTGGAAATAATAGCTTTAACATAGTAGAAAGACCACGGTGCAAATCTTACCAGGTGTTGATGTGATATGTAGTTAAAAATATAGTGTGCAGATGTATGAAGAATAAACCTCAACCTAGTATGAGGTTAACTTAATTTTAGCCGCTCCTCTGAGTACTGGAATATGGTAGTCTATTTGGCATTGAGTGTTACCGCATTGGGTATTGGCTAAAGGTGTCAAATGATGCACAGTAATCTGTAGGTGCAAAAACATAGGTCTCTCTTTTAAAAAGTAATTTTAAAATGAGCTGTTAACATTATTTTGAGAATAATCTAGCTTTTGTAATGTATATTTTAGAAAATGATACGTATAATGGATTTATTTTAATTGCTATGACTGCATTTGCCTTATTTAGACATTTCAAAAGGATCTTTACTGGGAGGAGAAATTTAATTTGAGCTTCAAGTGGTTTTGAAAAAAGAACTGGAAAAATTGTATCATGCCAATTATACAAAAAGACTTATCAAAACTAACATATACTGTAGTGTTTTGACAATTTTAGAAAAAATTTACATGAAGGTCAATAGCCACAGCATTTATCTCTTAAAGAAACATGAAAATATTAAATCTTTTTCAGTGGAAGAGATGAGTGACTTTTTAAACATTAGGGTTTTTTAAAACTAGTATGCAAGTTGTGAACATTTTTCCTGTTGTGATACAAGACTGAAAATATGCCGCTTAATTTGATAATTAAAGGAGTTTATCTTTCATATCCGTAATAATACAATTATGAAATTGGTTATTAATTGTAGATCTTACAGAATTTTAAAAATGAAGCCAATATATATAATTGCAATTCTGTTGTCTTTGCCATTGATGTTTCAGTTTGTAAATGTTATAATTGAATGAGTACTCTTTTTCTGGATAATAACTAATAATAAAACCAATCCAGTTGAAGGGTATGTCTTAGTCCTCCTTTAAGTATTTTAATGAGCCTGTTGTTCTTGATATATATCAAGATTTTTTAGCAAATAATTATTTTAAGGCGATTCCTAACGAGCCTATCTTTTATAAAATAAATGTACTTTTCCTTTCTAGTCACAGTGCGCTCAATATGCTGCTGATAGAAGAGAGGAGGAAAAGATGTGTGATCATCTTATCAGTGCTGCTAAACATCGAGATCATGTTACAGCCAATCAGTTAAAACAGAAGATACTCAACATACTGACGAATAAGCACGGTGCCTGGGGAGCTGTCTCTCACAGGTAAGAGGCAAACATAAATTTTGTAATTTTTAAATGCAGTTTTCAAAGTTTAAGAGAGGCAGTCATTGCATAACTGAAATATGAATGCTAGAAGCTACTACTGCTAAAATGCTTTCTTATTCTGTTGTTAGTCTTTTCCTCACTTATCTATTTTTTGAAAAGACCTCTTTACTAAAGATGCACAGATCAAAGTCCTTTATAGATTGCAGACATAATACTTTATCACATTTTAAATGAATTATAATAGATTATTTGTCAGTTATAATGCAGCCTTACTGTTTGTTTACCAGTAGTTTTGGGGGCTCCAGTATTCGGATCTTTCTGAGCTAAACAGTGTAGATGAGATAAAGAGTTTTCTATCTTAAATATTGACAGAGGAAAACTGAGATAAAGAACAAAGAGGCAAAATGACTTGTCGAGCATTATAGAGTAAGTTAGTGTTAGAATAACAAGCGGAAGCAGGTCACTTGAATCCTTGTCTAATGCTCTCTTCTGTATAAGTAATAAATTGGTAAGATCCACTGGTAAATCTTAACTCTGTTACAGCAAAACAGAAGTTAATACCAGCCATGCACAGTCAAACTTATATGCTTAATTCAAAAAAAAATTTAGATGTGTACTAAACAGCATGTTGCAGAGCTGAGCATAACCAAAGCGCATGCTTAATTCTGCGGGTACTCCTTGAAGAGAAGCATAGTTCTAAATATATAATTCTTACTGTATGTAAGTGGTAACATGGTAACTAAGGTTTTAATCAGAGCTATGTTGAAAACTTTTTAAAAATTTGTTCTGTTCAGCCTGGGGATGAAATTAAACATTTTCATATATCATATTAAAACAGAGCCTTGGTCTTCTGATTCACAAAAATAGCCAGGGGCTAAAGTGCTGACTCTCACATGGAAGACTCAAGCTCACATTGCTCTTTTCTTTCATTCAGAGCAAGGTCTTGAACCTGGGTCTGCCACGTGAGTGCCCTGTCTGCCAAAGTGGAGGCTGCCAAGTCTTTTTCTTGTGTTTGCATACTCAGCAATGAATATTTGCTTATTTATTTAAATGAAACAGCTAAAATAAGAGAGATTAAGGAAGAACTACTCACAAATATCCAATTTTTAATAGTTTTAATTTTCCATTCAAGTTAATGCTTCAAGTCAGGCAAGCAGAACAGAGTTCTGTTTTAGTTCTGAAAAATCTTTTCAGTGAAATCTTATTGACACTGAATATATTGATGCAGAATCTTTTCTACAGATAAATATTTCTATCAAAAATATTATTTGAGGGTAGTTTGGATATGTATCTAGGGCTTAAGCTCATTGGAAAAGATGTTGAGTAGTAAATTTGGCACAGAAGTAATAACGTTTAACAAATACCATTTATACTGCTCATTCTTTTTGTTATCCTGTCTAGTTGGCTCTTACAGTTATACAGAGTAAAAAATATATAATTTTTCATGTTCATCATCCTTATATCTTCCAGAGAAATCACTTTTTCCTATCTGGTGATGGAGATATATTTTTTTTTAAGGTGGTAAAAAGCATAGAAGAAATTCAGTCTTTATGGAAATTCTGTAGTCTAACATCAGAGAGGTTCTGGTGGAAATTACGAAAATTACATTTAGAAGATTATGATTAGTTCAAAAACATCTTAGTTCATAATGGACACTCATGTTATGTTTAGTTGAGGCTTAAAGCTGTGTGTCTAGAGCATTGAACCTGATTCAAATATGTGCAAGTTTCAGTCCCTTTAATGTCTTCAAATTTTTGAATAATGCTGTTGCTCAAGTTCATGAATGGTTGGAGACACTTTACAGATGCAGGTCAGTTCCTGTCCTTTCACTGGTTACTAATTTTTGGAGGAGACCTTCTCTTCTTTGGGCTAGAAAACTTTCCTCTCCTATACATAGTATATATAGTATAGTAGAAAGGTCCTAAATGGCAACAGCTCACGACTGTAACTTATTCTGCACTGTAGTCCATGGTAGTTATCAATGGACCAGGAAGCAGCTTGACACCTGTGGCAAATCTGTCAGATTTCATATATGAAGCAAAATGCACTTTGATTTTACTCCTGTCATGCCACTTCCTCTGTGTGCCTGCTTCTCATTTACTTGCTCATTTACTTCTTTCCCGTTGTCACTCTCCATGTTAGATGCCCCCGTTGGCCTGGTTGTTTTTTAGCTGCATGTTGGCTATGGCTGATGCTTGACCAGAATTGGGAAAGGGGCAACAAAACAAGGTCTCCATGTATGGTTTTCACATTCACAGGAGCCGAATAGGAAGCAAATATCTTTGCGCCCCGGGCCCTACCATGTGTCACATGGCAGCTGTGTGATACAGCACACAAATGCACTGTCTGTTATGAGACTTAATGGGATATTCACACATTTGGATGGTAGTTGGAAAGGACTAGGATGGGAGCAGATAACAAGAAGATGCACAGTAAGAGACCATATGGACCGAGGTCCCTGATTCTCAGCGAGCAGATTCAAGACTTTCAAGTTCAAGAATTAGAGAAAGGGTTCAGAAACTACTGAAGCAAAGAAGGCAAAAACTTTAATTACGTAGTTTCCAATACTTTTTTATATGATGGAAAATAAAGTGGCTTCTAAAATTTACGTTCCTATTGTCTTGTTTAGCAAGAGATACATATTTGAGTCTCCATGTTTAATTTTCAAGGAACAGCTACAGTGTTAGCGATCTCCTTATAGACTGATGCATTACAGTTTGGGAGTTTTCTGTGCCCCAGAAGATAGAAGCCTAACTGGAATATACACACATTATTTTTACTAAAAAATGATTTGTCACTCATATAGGCCTCTACACTACATCACTTCTGGCAGGAAGATTTTTTTTTTACAGTTCTGAATGCACACTGCTGACTTCCTCTCCGTGTCTTGAATCTGAAATGTTATGTTATTTCTTGGAAACTGTGAATTATGGAAATTGCTAACTGGCTGAGGAGGGGCAGGTGATGAACTGGGTAAATAGTTCATCATTAGTAAAATTTGGGCAATAGCAATGCCTTCTGATACCCAAAATAGATGAGATGGGTAAGAAACTTTTTTGAGAGTGGGTGTGATTCTTAAAAGTTTCTATGTTCTACCACATATACAATCCACAGCTACTGATTTAGTGATAATTGTAGTATATTGTACATATATGCATGTTTTTATTTATATCCTTGTGTTTATTTTTAAAGTAAAGAACAACTTTTAAGCACTTTAACACAGATCCTCTTGATATAAAATACTAAAATCTGATTTTTGTGAAATTTGACCCAGCTGTAGAGAATTTTTCCTTTTATTTGGAGTTCAATACAATGAATTTGTAAGCCTTCCCGCTTTTTTGTGTTGTTGTACATTACTGTTGTATTGCGTGTACTTTTTTTGCAGAAAACTACAACCAGCATTTACTATGCTTAATCTGTAGGTGCCACAATGTTCACTCTTTGTTCCTTTATTAAGAAACAAAAAACTACGTTGACTACTGCTAGCACTGCAAGTACTGGGAGGAAAACAAGCAATCTGATGAGTGCATTCTTACAGCATTTACCAGTTACAAACTTGGAATATCTTATCATAAGCTGTTACTGGAATGTTTGAAAAACAAGAATAATGTTGAGCTATATGAGTCAACAAAATACCATGTGAAACTTTCAATTCGAAGCAGTAACATAGAGCCTGGCCCTGCCCATGCACTTACTAATCTATACGCTTTGAGTTGGTCTGAGAACGTATTTATTCTTTAACCTCTCTCTCTAAATATGGCGAATAACACTGTTTTGAAAATCCTTTCTTTTATACTACTTAAGTGTTAACCTTCTTCCCTTCACAAATTTTTTTCCTTTCACTTCTTAAAGTGAAAACCAAGTATGTTTTGCTCCATTTCTTGCAGGTATGAGCATCCCCTCTGCAACAAAAGGAAATTATTGTATGATCCTATTTTTTCCTACATAGCTCAGTCGAAGAATAATAAATTTAAAAAAAAAAAAAAAAACTCTTCAGTTTGTTGTAAATCCTGTTTCTGCCCTTAAACTGAACTAATTTTATTTTCCTCATTTTGGCGATTTGACACTTTTAGGTATGTTCATAATAGCTTACCCTAAACATAGTGTTTTTCACCTTTTTAATTTTAGCATTTAGCCAAAATTAGAATTCTACAGGTTTTTTCTATTCAGAGGAGAAATTGATGAGTTGGTTATTTTTTTTGATGTATTGCCACTTACTCAGAGTGAATATGCAACATCCTATTTCCTTGAACTCAGGAAGAATCAAACGGGGTATTACATAGCTTATTGTTCAAAGCCTCTTTAAGCCAGCACTTACCCTTAGCTTTTTTCAGGGTTATGGTCTTCATGTCCCAACATATGCTTCCTTCAATCTTCTCTGTCAGCTTCATATGGTGCTTCTCTTCCTCCCCATCTGCTTCTCTCCTCATACATATCTTTCTTTAAAATAAATAAATAATAAATAAAGGCTTAGTAAAACCTGTCTATACACACAGTTCAGATTCCTTACCAGCCAGATGTATGCCTGTGTTTTGGGCTGTATCCTGTGATTGTGTTGGTTTGGAGGTATTCTTATTTGGCTGCTTGATTTAATCAACTTTAAAAAAAAAAAAATTACAACTTAAAAAAAAAATACTTTTATTTAGGAACACTGTGTGTAGTTATGCCTTACAACTTCAGTAGGTTGAAGACAATCTAGGGCAATACAAAGAGTTCTGAGTTCCAATTTGTATTCTAAATCTAAATATGAAATACTTGTCACAGATATTTCCAAGTTATCAGTTCTGATATACTCAGGAGGATTATTATTCTGAGAAAAATGACATTTAAAAATGGGACTTGGTTCTCTTACTTTCAATGATTTGATGGAGGTTCCACCTACACTAAAGCAGCTTTACCAAACAGCAAGAATACAAGGGCTCTTTCTGTTCAAATCCCATCTTTGGTTAAACTAGACACCCATAACAAATTAATTATTCGTGGTGGAGGGCAGAGCT